ATTGAGCCAATCAGAAGTGTTGGAGGAGATGGCATCGGGGGCGGCGTTGGGTCGTTGCTCCAGCTGCTGGAGGCCGCTGTTGACTTGGTCAAACGCCTGATTGTGAGTCTGAACGGCGTCGTCGAGGCTATGGATGTCCTCCTGCTGTGCAATGCACGTTGCCAGGAGATCCGTGAAATGGGAGAGGAGTACAGCGATCTTGCTTTCACTCTCTTCCATCTGACCATTCTCAGCCTCGGCCCGCCAGTCCGCTGCCATTGTGAGCAAAGCTTGCTCTCCGTTGATTATCTTCTCACGTCGTTGAATTCGGTCTTCATCGACAGCATTTGCTATTGCGTCGTCTTGCTAGCGCTGCTGTTCGATTGCCAACAGACGTGCCTCCTCAGCGTCCTCTGCCTTCTTCTTCTCTGCGGCTGCTACCTCATCCGCCCGTTTCTTGGCTTCGGTAAACAAAGCCGTCATCCGGGCCTGATAGGCCTCGGCCGTTTCCCCGGACTTCTCATCCATGCAGGCAATTTATAAGCGCGTGAGCATTGACCAGGCCGGGGGACTGCTGACGTGGCAGTCCCTGCTGCTGACGTGGCACTGTTGTCGGCTGACGCGTCCTGCTGACGTGCCCTGCTGACGTGGTCTGTTGACGTGACCTGCTGACGTGGTTTGCTGATGTGGCCTGCTGACGTGGCAACTTCCCAATGCCGCCGCAGGGGGTACCCGGAGACAGATAGAGAAGATAAGACCAGAGGGGGCAACAACATAGTTGGGGAGGGATGGGTGGAATAAATCGCCCAGATAAGGAGCCACTAATCAAAAATAAAAAAGTTCGAAGTTTTGCAGAGAAACAAATTCGAGAAAATAAAAATCCCGAGTTTTGCAAGTTCAGTTGGTCGCCCAATCTCCCTTAAAGTGCGAAATTGTCAATGTGAATTTTTTTTTGGAACTCTCTGACTGCCAATGATTATCAGATAGTGAAAACCATAGAACTGCGAGTACCAAGAATTCCGAAAAGAAAATAAAAAATATTTGGAATTACTTAGATGAGAGTACGCGCAGTTTGGGAAATGGTAACTGCAAGAGGGATTTCCCGTACCGTTTTCAAAAAAACGAATTTCGGAAAAAATATATATGTTTCGTATTTCCAAATAATGGGAAATTGCAAAAGGTAACTATGCTACCAGCCGGGCCGCCCGGGTCCCGGGTGGCCGGCCCGTGCAAGGACCAGGGAAGGTCCCAACCAAAAAAAAAAAAAAAAAAAAAAATCCAAAACATCCGAAAAAAAACTATGTTATGCAGAAACATAAACTGAACAACTTTGGCCTCAAGGTCACATCGAAATTCTGCACCATATTTAGAATAAAAAATATTTTTTTTTATTTTATTTACTTTTTTTATTTTTTAATTGTTTTTGGCCCGGCCGGGCAAGTGACCCCGGGCCACTCTGGTAGTCTAGAAAGGAAATCGAAATTTTGAAAAAACAATATGCTGGATTTCCAAGGATGAAATTTCGAATTTTCAGGTGTTGCGCTATTGCGATTTTCCACAACAGAAATAGCGGGAAAACATAATCCAAGAAAAGAAAAAAAAATCGATTTTCTGCAGTGAGGTTAAAATCATGATTTTGGGTGCTAATGAGTGTGCTCTAATCAATCAATCAATCAATCAATCAAGACTAATCAACTAATTAATCCCCGCACACGTGTCAGATCCAGTTGTCCTGATTCACGTGCGGTGTTTCGATACCAACTGTTACATGCCCAGTTGGGTGATGTACATATATAACCAAGGATCCTCAATGTGATGAAAAGGACTGAATGGACAATGCAGTGCTAGTGGAATCTCGACAAACAATGTACATTCTGATACATACAAAAATGGTGCTTTGTAGCGCAGTGGTAGACTTAAATAAAGTCCTGACCTGACCGGGACTGACCTCTCTCACGGAGTACAAGACAGCGTAGCGGAATGCTAGAATACCAACGACTAGCCCAATCAATGTCGCAATGCAGACCAAACATDCATCATCCTCATCACAAGGTGTGAAGGGGCCTCGCGCTACACACAGGAAGAATGCACCAGGTCCAGATCATGCACAGACGAAGAGGAGGGAATCAGATGAAAAAGAGGGGGGGGGAGATGGGAATGTCGTCAACACCAAGTCTTCGTTACAAGTCCCAAATAATCCCTCGTAAAAATGTCTGAAGCCGAATGTCGAGTCTGGATCCAAATGTCACCAAGCCCGCTGTCTCGTAGTCTGCTGATGCAGTGAAGTCAGGTAGCGAGAGGGTGAGAGGGAGATGATGGGCTGAGAAGAGGAAGAAGACGAAAACTCTCTCTCTCCCATGTGCCAGGTACTAACCTGTGAAGATGGCGCTGTGCTGCAGGTGCCTCAAAGACGAAGCTGGAGCTATGGCGCTGTAGGTAAGTCTCCCTGGCCTCCGCCCAATCTCTCTCTCTCTCAAGTACTACTCTAGCTCCTACTAGCGCCCAACGCTGAAGACTACTGCTAACGCTACTACTCTTGTAGCGCTCCTCCAGAGTGCTGCTGCCGAATCCTGAAGACTACCTCTTGCCTCCTGAATTGCACGTGAAGTGCCTGGGAAGTCCCTATGAACTTCCTGCAGCCTGCAGGGCGGGCCAGTCTTATATCGTGCTGCCTCGTCCAGGAGGCTGCTTTTGCCAATGCCAAAACGTGCCAGACCCTGGCGTTGAAGCTCAAACAAGGGTTCTCTTGAAAACAGGCCCAAAATGGCTTGTGCTAAAACCCAGGTCTGGTGCCCAAGTTTTAGGGAAGGTTGATCTTATGAGGGCCTGAAAATGGCCCTCCGTTTCAGGCTGAAAAGACTCTGGGCCTGGAGGGCCCTGTTTTAGGCTGAAATGACACAGGGCCTGTAGGCCCTTGTTTTCAGGCTTCCACGCTGAAACGACACAGGGCCTGTACGCCCTTGTTTTCAGGCTTTCAAGCTGAAAACGACACGGGCCTGAAAATGGCCTGTGTAGCCTGTTGCAGGCGCAACATGTAACACCCCCCCCTCCTTATGAAGTCAAGCCGGGTTGAGGGTGAAGCTGACGATCTGAAAGTGCAACCTGCATGAGGGTGCGACGTGGAACCGAAGATACCGGCTTGCCTTGCATCTTGCGTTCGTAGCATGCGAGAACATCTGGAGTTGTTGCTTGGAGTTCCGCACGGGTCAACCAATGGTTGGCTTTGTGGGTGCAGTACGCAAAGTGTACCAAGTATTTGGTCGGCCTAATGCCGTAGCGGCGTTGGGAGATGATGTCGCCGAACTCTTGAAAACCGTCCATAGAGGGTGGGTCTTGCGATCGTCGCCCGGGAAAACCGTCATGTTCCGCTGGCGTGTAAACAACCAACTTTGAGCAATGAAAGACCGGGTAGACAGGCAAGTGGGCGGGCACCTAAATGATGAACGAAGGTCCTTCGGGTGCCTCCCCAACGGGTGCCATGATCGGCCAGATGTCGGTGAACTCGTCAAGCAACCGCACCACACGGGGTCCGAAGACAAGTCTGTGGGGGAACCATCAGCTAACGCGACGGTCCGTAGGAAGCATAGGCCTATCTCGTCGAGCTGCTCGTTAAGCGCAAGTCACCCGGAACGACTTGGCCGTCACTACTTGGCACCGGATCGAAGGGTGCGAAAGAGGAATAGTACACGACACTTCGGCGCCGAAGGCGTCCCGAATGGTAAGAGTCCGCCGGTGGAAGTTGACCGTGTGATCCGCACTTGCAAGCCAAGGCATTCCCAAAATAATATCGAAGTCCGTGTCCAAAATGTCGAACGTCACCGGTTCGCATGCACTGGGTGCGAAATACACCGGTACGGCCTCGATATAGTGGTCAATAAGCTGCTGCGTCCTTCCCTCTGCCAACTTGATCGCCGTCTGGTTTGCCTTCCTCTGAACTCGTCCGCCAAGGCCAGTCCTTTACATAAAGGCTTCGCTCATGAAATTGCGAGATGCGTCGCTATCCAGCAAAGCGCTGCAGGACGCTTGCCCAACTTGGATGCGGACATAAAGGAGAGGTGCGGTGTTGACATCGTACCCCTGCTTGCGAAACTCGCGGGCTATCTTGGTAAC